TTTTGTATGGAAGAGACTGCGTGAAAAAAATTGCCAAAAATCAACGGTAGTTCGTAGCTACTTAGAACTCAACTTTATTACAGTAAAATTTATTGGGCTACAACTCTGCATACTCAAAAAAATTCTAAAAAATCTGATTAAAAAGTAGAAAATTAGCATGAAAATTTGCTGAATTTTCGCAAGCTTTGCACAAAGTTTAAAAATTATATTTTTATGTTTTTTGTTGAAGAATGAACCATATTTTTATAAAAATTGGCGGAAAAATATATGAAAAAAAAATGTTTGCATATATTGTAAAAAAGCTGCAGTGCCAATACTTTTTGCCGGCAGTGTACATAAATTAAAAACTATTATTTTTAAGCTACACTTACGTTCATACATTAAATAAAATTTTCTTTAATTTTCTCTGAAATGCAATTGCATTGCGAATTTGATTTAAACTTGCAATCCCAGTCTCCAAAAATTCCACCTGCTACAAAAACACTTTGCACACTCTACACAAACCGACATTTCACTCACCATTATAGCGATCTGGCGCATAGAGACCCACAGTTGCAGCGCTAGCCGCCAGTACACTTTGTAGCGATACACTGATCAACAATAGACAGGACACAATGACTACGGCGAGTAGATGCATCTTCATTTCACTTTCTTCTTCTTCTTCTTCTTCTGCACAAGCGCGCGCTAAAATCACTAGCTATTAACTAAGCAGATACGATCGACAATGATCTTGTTAATGTTTGCGATGCCGGCACACTGAATAGAAACTATGTCAGTGGCTATTGGAGGCTGCTTGTTTAGCCAGTTGGAAACTAGTATCAAGCTTTCTTACGCCGCTGACGACTCACTCACAGCAAGCACAAACGGCGGGGGATATTACGGCGGCAATTAAAAAGCAAAACTTGTAAAAATTTACTAAAAATGCATAAAATATGCAGAGAGTTTTCACTAGACTTGAACGTGAATGCGAAGCGATATATTGGCCACTGGTAATGAATGACGTTGATGGCGTTGAATGCGCGCACGCGTATTCGGTTATGTGTTTGCGATTGCTGCTTATCGGCAACTGTTGCTGCTGATTGATCACTGCAGCATGCAAGCTGTTGGCTGTTGGCTGTAAGCTGTAAGCTGCTGTAAGCTACAAGTTGCTCTATTGCTTTGTACGGGCGGCTGAGTGAAGCACTCAAGTGGAAAATTTAAGTGGTACGTGTATCTTGTTGCACACGGTTTTCAACGGCTATGAAATTGAAATTCGTTAAAAAAAAGTGTTTTGCTGTTTTTTGCTGTTTGTGTTTCGTTTAATTTTGCACACAAAATTAATTTGGCCTAACCACAAGCACTTAGCGGTGTTTAATAAAAATTCATGCGTGACAACTGCAAATTTTTGCACTCGAACTCGCGTGTCGCTAAGGCGGTTTTTTGTTATTGTTTTTTATTTTTGCTTTAAAAATTGTTTTGCACTTNTAAAAAGTGTTTTGATGTTTTTTGCTGTTTTTGTTTTGTTTAATTTTGCACACAAAATTAATTTGGCCTAACCACAAGCACTTAGCGGTGTTTAATAAAAATTCATGCGTGACAACTGCAAATTTTTGCACTCAAACTCGCGTGTCGCTAAGGTGGTTTTTTGTTATTGTTTTTTATTTTTGCTTTAAAAATTGTTTTGCACTTAATTAATTTTTATGAATATTTATATTTTCATATATGGTTTTATGTGCACATGTATGTATGTATATGTGTCTGTTTTATATGCAAATATGCACGTAGGCGTCGTTTGTGGTTGCGTTCAACAAAATGCCTTTTGATATGCTGCTGGTTGCGGCTGCGCAATGTGGAAGATCCGTACACGTTAGCTGTTTAGAATTTACTGAGCCCACTCCAGCTGCGCATGTCAATATAAAACCTACCAACTACACACCGCCAAAGAATGTCGATTATTTCAGCAAAAACGCAAAAAAAAATCATAAAAATAATAAAAAAGCAACTTTTATACGTACATATATACTAGGGTGGTCTCTAAGATATCAGTCTGTATGGAGCACCCTTTTTATTTTGTTATGCGTACAACATAAACACATTCTAAAAAGTTTCAAAATCCGGACGGTTGGCCGTATTTGAATGAAACTTGGCACACAGACATAAAGGATTTTTTTTTTAAAGAGGGTTGCCATCTTTTTAAAAAGTTAAAATTAGTTAAACAATATGAAGTCAAACGAAATATTACAATAATGTAATTAATTAATGTATTTAATGAAAGGGGTTCCAAAACTATCTAACCCGAAAATATTTTCTTAAAGAGGTTGCCACCTCTTAAAAATGTAAAAAAGTTAAAATCGATTAATTATTATGTTAAAGACAATAACACAACAATATTAATGAACAACAATAGGTATTCAAAAAGTATTTATTTTGGAGATATTCTTCAAGAGCGTTGCCACCCGTTAAAAAAGTTAAAATAAATTAAATTAACAATTTAAACGAAATACCTTAATATGGGTATCAAACGAGAGATGTTTAAGAAATTTTATTCCACAAATATTTTGAAAGGAGCTGCCACATATTTAGAAATTAATACAACTGAAATAACAAGTTAAATAAAATAACTTAATCCGGGTATCAAGAGATAGAGGGTTTAAGAAAGCTGTAACTATTTCAAAAATATTTTAACTATCCGTAGTTGCCACCATATCGAATCCAGTCCAAAAACTATCCTAAAGTAGTACTGGAGTGAATAAATAGTGACCTCGGCCAAAATTGTTCCGAACTAGTTCCGAAATGGTGCTAAGGTAGTCTTAAATAGTGCATAAGTAGTACCGAAATGGTCCTAAAACAGCTCCGAAATGGTCCTGAAGTAGCCCTGAACAGATCCCGAAGTGGTCCTGAAGTAGTGCTGAGCAGGCCCCGAAACGGTTGAAAAAGTCGTGTACATGTCCCGAATTATTCTCGAACAAGTCTTGAAACGATACCGAACTATTTCCAAAATGGTCCTCAAATACTCCTGAACTAGTCCCGAAATGTTCCTGAACTAATTCTGAACTAGTTTAAAAATGGGACAGAAGTAGGCCCAAAAGGCCCCTAAAAAGTCGTAAACTAGCCCGAAATTTTTCTGAACTAGTTCCGAAATAGTCCTGATCTCAAATGGTCCAGAAGAAGTTCAGAAATGGACCTGAAGTAGTACTGAACAGGCCGCGAAACGGTCGAAAAAGTCGTTAACCTGTCCGAAATATTTTCGAGAAAGTCTTGAAACGATCCCGAACTCTTCCCAAAATGGTCCTCAACGGCGAAATGTTCCTGAATCAGTTTTGAAATAGTCTCAAAATGGTCCAGAACTAGAATGTGGTGCTAATAACAGTTGTAAACCAGTCCCAAAATATTCCTGAATAGCACCTGAAATGTTTCCGAACAAGTCCCGAAATAATCCCGAACTAGTCTCGAAATAATCCCGAACTAGTCTCGAAATGATTCTGAAATAGCCCTGTACACGTCGCGAAACGGTCCCAGAAATATTCTAAACAAGTAAACTAGTCCCGAAATGTTCCTGAACTAGCCTAAAAATGTTCATTTATAAAAGACAAGAAGCAATTAAAAATGTTCGGCTGGATTAACGAAAATTTTACCCATACCGAGAGCTAAGATGTTTACGAATCAACCATTTCCAAATTTTGAAACTCCGATTAATTTGAAATTTAAAAATTTATTTGGATGACTTTATTTAGTATGTATAATAAAATAAAAGGCTGTTTCAGACAAAATATAGATGTTGATATTTTAAGGACCACCTTAATACACACCCATATATTCATATGGATACATATGTATACAGAAATACATATGTACATACCTGTATGTATGACTACGTACATTTAGATAGCACATAAATTTATATAAAATCAAAATAAATTTCGAGAAACATTTGTAAACAGCTTAAAAATCTTGCTGCTGCGTACTTAAAACCAGTCCTCCTCGTCTGTCATCCGTTTGTCCGTCCGTATAATCGTTCAACCTTCCTTCCACCTGTTCAGCGCTCTACATGTTCTGCTTTGTCACTGTACTTAAAACAAATATGTATGTATTCTTAAGTCGCAGTCAAGTTAGCGGCTGCGTCACTCCCGCAAAGCCTCACTTCACCTCACTTCACCTCACCACACCACACTCTTTCCCATTGCAAGCTGCACAAAAACAATTTTTTAATAAATCGCAATAATTAAGTTGGGTGGAAAATTGTTCCATAAACGTTTTTCAAAAGCGTTAGCTAGCTACCGTTGGCGCGCTGTAACTGTTGACAAACCGTAGATAGCTTGGACAATATATGTAAGTATGTAGCTACTCCAGCGCATTGTGTGACACCCTTTATTTCGCATATTAAAATTCATAAAAATACTTACTCATAAATTTTTGCGTCAAAATGTGCAATTTTTGTTTGCACGTACATACATAAGTAGCCACACTCTTATATACATATATGCACCGGCACGTACCAGCTACAGGTACATACATACATATATATGAGTAATATTCTAGATACTCGTATCCCCAGTTGCGTTATGAACGAGTTCCTTTTACTCACTCACACCTGCACCCACTGTCAGCCTCCATGTAGCACAGTTATGTAGTTCATTTATAGCAAGTGAGTGATGGGAAGTGTAGAGAGTGCTGTGCTGCAACGAATTGGGTGTGCGTGCACGCATGCGTGAACGGGTTTTTTAAGCTACAGAAGAAATGTTGGTCATAATACGAGTATGGTTGCATGGAAAGTGTTGGGATGTTGTGCTTCATCTCATTTAGATATGTATGTAGAGGCTCTACAATCGATTAGAAATTGCAAATTTATAGATATACTTTAATTATCAATACATTATCAATACTGCCATCGATATTATTATGGTGTCACTTAATATGTTATGTATAACTAAAATTAACATCGTTACTTTTATCGATATATAAATCGATATGCTATACCTTGGGATAAATCGATATCATCCAAGTATTACTCAAATGAGTACTTGTACTTGTATCAAAGGAGGTATCGATACCTACTCAGTATCGGCAAGGTATCGAGTATTTTTCAAAGTGATTGCATTTGTTCACAAAAAATATGCATTTTTGCAAGATTATTTATCTTTTAATATTTTTTCATACAAAATTAAAAAAAAAAAATATTTTTATTCAAAAACAATAGCATACATTTTTACAAGATCAATATATAAAGTTTTTTGATATAAATTAAGTTTAAGAAAAGAACAACTTTTTTGTTATATTTCCCACAAACATCAACTTGTCCAAGTATTTTCCTGAAAGGCGGATTTGAGATTTTGATATAGTTGTATGTACCTGTTTTTGAGAAAAGCCTCTCGCAAGGAACATATGACCCAACAACCGTTATGTATAGACGGGCTCGCTTATATAGCTGCGGAAATGTAGTGCACATATCTTCCCATTCCTCTAATGGGTTGCTTATCCAAGAAGATGCTGAAGCATAATAAATTTTGCGANGCGGAAATGTAGTGCACATATCTTCCCATTCCTCTAATGGGTTGCTTATCTAAGAAGATGCTGAAGCATAATAAATTTTGCGATTCCGATACAAGTACTTTTTTTCGATACTTATTTGGATCGCAGTAAAAAGTATCGAGTACAGAAATACTTGCTAAATTGAGAAAAGTATCGAGTATGCTCTTGGATTTACTTGTATCGATTCATCCGCAGCTATACCTAAGAATCTATGGTTTGGTATCACTTAATATGTTATAACTAAAACTATAAAAGCCCATATGCTTTACCTAAGAATTAATCAATATTTATACAAAATAATTGGAAAAATATGCTAATTTCTTTATCAATATAGGAATTGTAAATTTATCGATATGCATTGACTACTACTACTAGATAATATGTTATCGATTTCGCTATCGACGTCATTATATTATCATTCATTAAGGTTGACATCGATAATATTATCTTTATATAAATTCAGCGGCCACTGAAACTAAGTAGTTCGAGGTGCGTCCTACTGAGTTCGATTCTTCGTCCGTGCAACATCTAATTTAGAAAAGTACAATCGCCGTTTAGAGTCGGCGTTAAACCGTAGGTCCCTCCCATTTATGTCACAACATCAAGGCGACCACCAAAATTCGGAGAAGCTCGGCCACACACTAGATTATGTTAGGCCATGGTGGTTGCCGGCTCTTGTCACTATATCGTGTATTCTTATCGTTGATGGTCGCGGACGTCCACAGAGTCAAGGTCAGCTAAACACCGAAAAACATGTTAAATGGCAGAGATGGTTTTCTACACTTTCCGCCTCCTCTTCGCCCCTGCAGACACGACATAAATCGTTAGTGGGGTAACCCATTCGCCTAGCATGCGCTTCTATCAGGCAGTGTCCTGTAATTACACCGACAAGTATGCTAATAATGGGGCGATCGATTTGTATAAGAGTTTTGGCTCTTTGCTCATTAATATATGTATATCCGGATCTATTTCGTAACGGAATATGGAGTTTTTTTCGTCCATCGTTTATTGGCCAATTCAATGAAAATAGATTTCAGTCGGCGCTTACACGAAGATAGGGGGACGCCTGCATCGTGTACAGAGTTTACTGGGCGTAGGGTCAGATCCCCCCTCGCAAACTGGTCTGGGGCGCAGTTTCCCGGTAATCCACTATGAACGGGTACCCATACCACGCAAATGGTGGATTTCGTGGCAAGCTCGTTTAAGGTACCACTTTTGAGGAATTGTTACTGTACAGCTGTAAAGATTTGATCGCTGCTTGGCTATCAGAATAAATAGTGACGGATTGTAGTGAAATTTCGCCGCTTTTAAGCTATAGAGCGGCCTCCTTATAGCTGTTAATTCGGCCTGAAAAAAAGCTGCAGTGGTCACGGAGCCGCCTGCTAAGGTTTACCAAGAGGTCTTGTGCAAGCTTCCAAATTTATTATCGAGCTTCGACCCGTCCGAATGGTGCCCAAAATTTTTGAGTGACCGAACCCAAGGTCTCTCCATGTACGAGCTGCATTCACTCTGATTGCGTTACAGCTGGCCTGATATCTATCGTAAAGGTCTCGGTAGGGAGAAGATTAAATGCACTCTACCTGTGCCCTACTGAGAGTAGAGGGTAGAGGGTTTGTAGACGGTCTAATATGCCGCTTTAAGTGGACTTTTCTAGTGCTGGCCAGCATACGGTGATCCCATAGAAAAAGATGGGTCGGACAATCGCCGTGTACATCCAGTGTACAGGCGTAGAGGGCGGTAATGTCTTTCCTGGTAAGTCCCACACTATTTAGATAGGGGGGCTGAAAAGACGGTATCTTATATTTCCCCGTGAATAGTACCATTTCAGTCTTGTTGGAATTGGCCTTGAATCCACACTCCCTCGACTAGCTATTCACGAGTTAGAGAGCGCTCTACAAAAGCTCGCTTAGCGTTTGGAGATGCTTACCCTTTGCTGTGAGTGCAATGTCGTCAGCAAACGCTATAATGTGACTAAAATCGTTACAGCAAAAAACATGGTTTGAAAAACCGCATAAATTCAAATCCGCATAAAAAGAGACCTAAATAACGGGTCCAAGTCGAAGGGTGTAGATACATCCGATTTTAAAAAAGAGAAGTTTTATGCCGCATTAAATACGATTATAAAGTACCAACTACCACATACTTATGTATTTATTTAAAAAAAGTTTTTCGTAAATTTACTGAATCTTTACTACTCTACGAGTACTTTTTCCTAAGTTACATAAACTTCTAACTAAAATACTTCAAATATGGCAACATCAATTCCTCTCCCCGAAAAGTTGAACTTTAGTCTATAAGAAAATGTATATTTTCTAAATAAAATCCCCGTTATTTTTAACCACATACTTGGTTATGCATAGCATAAAATTTCCCATTTGTTGACAAATAAAAGCTGGCACTTCACTCGTGCTCAAAACGCGGGTAACAAGTGCGAAAATCAGTAATTAAATATTAACAAAGTATTTTTAATTGCTGTGTGGAAATCGTGTAAACACCCGTTAACAAAATTTAATCAGTTGTATTACTATTTCATAAGTTCCGTGCCCATTTGTCAGCCCGTTGGCGACTTCAAAACCCTCGATATTTAAGTGATCGGGTACTCAGCACAATGTTGTTGTGTTAATTTAAATTTTTTAAATTACCAAAAATTTACGTCTACTTTTAGAACTGCCCAAAACGAATGCACTACTTTTAAATGAGCAAAAATTTATGTTCACTTTATAAATTCAAAAAATTTTTTGTCAATTTTATAAATGACCAAAAATTTGTTTCCGCTTTTAAATTATTAAATATTTTTAGGTCAACGTTTTCACTGACAAACAGATTTTGTCCACATTTTAATAGCCAAAAATTTATGGTCGGTTTATAAGTGCTCACAAATTTTTGTAAATTTTTTATATCACCAACATTTTTTTTCACTTTTTAAATTACCGAAACCCTAGCTTTGAAATGAGTAAACATTAATGTGCACTTTTAAAATGTTTTCAATTGTATAAATGACTAAAAATTTGTGTCCACTTTTTAAAAAAGCAAAAATGCGTGTTCCATTCTAAGAGCAAAAATTTAAATCTAGTTTTAACTTTACCAAAAAATTATGTCCACTTATTATATAATAAAAAATGCATATGCAGTTTATAAAAGCCCATAAATTTAAGAACAATTTTTAAATGACCAAAAATTTATGTAAATTTTTTTAGTTTACCAAAAAAGTTTTGTAGACAAATGACCAAAAGTTTGTGTCCAGTTTTTAAATTACCAAAAAGTATGTCCATATTTTGAATGACTAAAAATTTACAACCACCTTTCAATTTACCAAAAATTTATGTTCAGATTATAAACGCTTACAAATTTAAATATGTACATATGTACATCGCTTTTTTAATTGGTTCACAAATTTGCTTTCCCTTTCAAATTTACCAAAAATATGTCTAGTTTTTATATGCGGTACCAAAAAATTATGTCCAGTTTTTAGTTTACCGAAAATGTATGATCATTTTTGAATGCATGCTCAACTTTTAAGAGACAAAAAAATTTTTGTAAATTTTCTAAATTAATAACATTTTTTATTCAGTTTTTAAGTGATCAAAAATATATGTCCAGTTTTCAAATGACTAAAAATTTATGTCCGTTGTTTAAAAATCTCTAATTAATGCCCATTCTCTGTACGACTAAAATTTTTACCACTTTTTAAATAACCAAACATATACATATGTATGTCAAGCTTATAAATGTTTAAAAATGTATGTATACTTTTTAAATTACCATAAAAGTATGTCTAGTTTCGATTTTGGCCAAAACCCCTATGCAGTTTTTAAATTACGATAAAGTGTTCTTATATTCGTACCAATTTGGGGTCAATATTTATGTTGCACAGTGTATGCATGTACACATTTTCACATTACCTGTACTTTCCACACTTTTTTATATATCAATTCCAGCTGATCAGTAGCTGACTCTAATCATAGTTTTGCGTTGGTAACGGCAATACTTTTTTCAGTCCGCAGAATACTTTATACATTTCGCGAATAATTGGGGAATAAATTTTTAAATCTTTCAAATTTTATAAATTATATTTTAGTATGCACAGTTTTTAACGGAGATAATACAATAATTTTTAACAAATACATATTTACAAAAACCATCAACAATTAATTGCCTCTACACCAATCCAACGTCGATAAATTTATCGATACAATTTATCAATAAAACTTGATCACAGCACTTAAAGGCATATTTTCTCACACTCTTCCTTGGTGTCGAAGCGATTATCATTTCCTTGACAGCCAC